CATTCTCATTTATCGAATACAGTTTGTTTTGTGTACATTTAATATAGTTATCTGTAGTTGTAGTTGCAGTTGTACTCATATCTGACTATTCATTTGTGCAATTTTGATATTGACAACTTTTTAGGGTTATTTGTTTTGGTCTCGGCGGTGTATTACTTAGCTCATCTTACGTTTTTGGGGGTTTTTTAGGGTTTAGGTTCTTCCGTACATCCCTTTATATAGGTTGTCATGCAGTATGTGTCCACTGGTGGGGCCAATATCCATGGTACGCCCCTACAGGCCATTCAATATGTATATACATCCAGAACTATTCGTTATACATCATTCAGCGTGCTTTGCCATTCACCTGCACTTCGCTGTTGCGCGTACTCCTGCCCCGCATGTCGGGTTTCCACGTGTCTTTGATTGGCTGTGTGTAGACCTCCTGTGTGTTTGGAGTCTGCCCCACAACATACTCATTGCGCATGCGCTGCGCATGCTGCTGCACCACGTGCGATGTAATCAGCGTCTCCGCCTGGTGCTGTGCGCGGCTCAGCGCACCGAGGCGCGGCGTTGTTTCGCGCGAGTGCCGCACTGGCTGTGTGACATGCGCTCGTGGCGCGTCCTTTGGAACGTCGCGCACGCTTCCTGACTGTGACTGTGACTGTGGCTGTGCGTGTGACTGGGGTTGGTCTGGGCGTTTGGATGTGCGAGGAGTGGACTTCTTCTTGCGCACGGTATTGGGACTGATCACATACACGCGCATCGGCGCAGTGGGGCTGGTTGTCTGTGAGTGTATCTGTGAGTGTGTCTGTGGCGTACCCAGGAAGCTCTCTGCCCGCGGGCGCGAGGACGCTGCCGGCTGTGTGGGGATCTGCACTGAGTACGTCTTGCGCATTGGGGGTCGTTTGGTTTGTTGTGACGTGCTGTCGGGCGTGTTGTGGCCTTTCTCGCCCGTTCCAGAGTTGACGCGCGGCCGCGACGATAAGGCTTTGACGCTTTTTGAGCGCGTGGCGATGGCGTGCGTGGTGATGGTGTTGACCGCAATGGCTGTGATTGGGGACTGGGCTAGGCTGTGCGTACCTGTGCGGTGTGTGGGCACAGGCGAGCGTGGCGCTGCATGGTGCGGGCGCGTGGCGCTCACAGATCGCCTGCGCACCTGCGCCGCGCCAATGTGCGGCGGCGTGTGCGCCACAACGGGAGGTGCAGAAGGCGTATCAGTCGCGCGCGAAGAGATGTCGGGTGTTCTTTGCGGCCTGCGCAGGAGATCACTAGCGTGCCTGCGCGCGTAAAGTGTGGTGTCATGTGTCGTCTCGTGGACATCTGGGTCTACGCTGCATTTGAGGTTGTGCCTGGCATAGGCTGGGCCCTTTTCCATCTCCCCGTGGCTGTTGGTGCCCACAATCGATCGAAGTCGGCGTGGCGGTAACTGCGCTTGCTCGGGATCGCTTGTATTTCTCCGACGTCCGCGTACCTGAACTGTTTGTGTTTGTGTTTGCGTTTGTGGTTGTGGTTGTTTTTGCTGTTGCGAAACACTTTCATTCTGCCGTAGCGATGGTCGGGGTCGCGCTGTGATCTTTGACTCGTGCTGATTTGGGCTTGCAAGGTGCGGCTGTGGGAGTGATCACGATATAATTTAGTGTTTACTTCGGGTAAGAAGTTATCAATACATACATATACATATGTATCTATGGACATATATATGCACATATACATATACATATACAAAAACATATAAATATATATACATATATATATATATATATATATATCATATATTATATATATATATATATATATTATATATATGCTATATATATACATACATATATATGATATATATATATATATATATTATATATATATATTATTTTATATTATAT